CTTTTCTTTTCTTTTCTTTTCTTTTCTTTTCTTTTCTTTTCTTTTCTTTTCTTTTCTTTCCTTTCCTTTCCTTTCCTTTCCTTTCCTTTTCCTTTCTTTTCTTTTCTTTTCTTTCTCTGTCTCTCTGTCTTTGTTTTTTTCTTTCTTTTTTTCCTCTTGATACTGTCGCCCAGGCTGGAGTGCAGTGATATGATCTCGGCTCACTGCAATCTCCACTTCCCAGGTTCAAGCAATTCTCTTGCCTCAGCCTCCTGAGTAGTTGGGACTACAGGCACGTGCCACCACATCCAGCTAATTTTTTTATTTTTAGTAGAGATGGGGTTTCCCTATGTTGGCCAGGCTGGTCTGGAACTCCTGACCTCAAGTGATCTGCCCGCTTCAGCCTCCCAAAGTGCTGGGATTACAGGCATGAGCCACCAAGCCCAGCCCACAAGAGAGCATTCATTTTCCAGAGCCTCAACTTTTTCATCTATAAAATAGGAATAATACTACCTGCTTTTCCTGGTTGTTATCAGAGCTGGACATTTATAAATTGCCTCTCACACCACCCAGTACCATGGAAATCTTTAATGAATTACAACTAACACTATTATAGTGTTTGTTTTGTTTTGTTTTGTTTAGACACGCTATCACCCAGGCTGGAGTGCAGTAGTGCCATCACAGCTAACTGCAGCCTCAAACTCCTGGACTCAAGCAATCCTCCTGCCTCAGCCTCTCCAATGGCTGGGACTGTAGGCATGCCACCATGCCCAGCTAATTTAAAAATTTTTATTTTGTATGGATGGTGTCTCACTATGTTGCCCAGGTTGGTCTTGAACTCCTAGTGTCAGAGGCATTTGAACAAGGACAAGTCCATCTTGAATAGGGGCTGGGTAAAATAAGGCTGAGACCTACTGGGCTACATTCCCAGAAGGTTAGGCATTCTTAGTCACAGGATGAGATAAGAGGTCAGCACAAGACACAGGTCACGAACACCCTGCTGATAAAACAGGATGTGGTAAAGAAACCGGCCAAAACCCACCAAAACCAAAATGGTGATGAAAGTGACTTCTGGTTGTCCTCACTGCTCATAATATGCTAATTATAATGCATTAGTATGCTAAAAGACAGTCCTACCAGCTCCATGACAGTTTACAAATGCCATGGCAATGTTCTGAAGTTATCCTTTATGATCTAAAAAGGGAAGGAATGCTCAATTCCTGGAAATCCCCATCCTTTTCCCAGAAAATTCATGAATAATCCACCCCTTGTTTAGCATATGGTCAAGAAATAACTATAAGTACACTCAGTTGCGCAGCACATACCACTGCTCTGCCTATGGAGTAGCCATTCTTTTATTCTTTTATTTTCTTAATAAAGTTGCTTTCACTTCACTCTATGAACTTGCCCTGAATTCTTTCTTGCACAAGATCCAAGAACCCTCTCTTGGGGTCTGGATTGGGACTCCTTTCTGGTAACACTGGTCTCAAGTGTTCCTCCTGCCTCAGCCTCCCAAAGTGTTGGGATTATAGGTGTCAGGCACCGCACCTGGCCTAGTTTTTTAAAAAATCATAATCATTTTTGGCCTGGCGTGGTAGCTCACACGTGTAATCTCAGCACTTTGGGAGGCCGAGACAGGTGGATCATGAGGTCAGGAGATTGAGATCATCCTAGCTAACATAGTGAAACCCCGTCTGTGCTAAAAAAAAAAAAAAAAAAAAGTACAAAAAAATTAGCCTGGCATGGTGGCGGGCACCTGTAGTCCCATCTACTCAGGAGGCTGAGGCAGGAGAATGGCGTGAACCCGGGAGGCGGAGCTTGCAGTGAGCTGAGACTGCGCCACGAGCTCCAGCCTGGGCGACAGAGCGAGACTCCGTCTCAAAAAAAAAAAAAAAAAGAAAATCATTTTTAGGAAGTTCAATTTCAAGAACTTCTCTGTTTCAAGATTTCCCGATTTGTTTGTGCTAACAGGTCTCATGGCCCATCTCTTCTGATTGGATCAGAATCCCTGACAGCTTAGAGGCTGGCAGGCCCAGAGTCCTCAAGGCATGAGAGAAGAGAGGGCTGTGGGGAACTTGAAGGAAGCATCACAGGAAGCCGCAGGTGGGCGGGAGGGGGATTCCTCCTGCTCCTACTAACCAAATGCACAGTCCTCCCCTCAAGCTTGCTTCTCCTCTGAGCTCTTTTGCAACCGTGGTGATGGGTGGGGGAGACCGAGAATGGAGAACATCACAATGGTGGGAGAGGATGGGGTGGTGGAGCCGGAGGTTGGAAGAATCAGGAGGAACCCCTGTGTTTTCCCTCCAGAGGTGGCATCCCTGGGGTGGTAGATAAGGCATTGTGTTTGGAATTCAGCCCCATGGGTGTAGGTAGCTGGGGTTCTAGTCCCTCCTGAGCCACCTTCAACAAATTACTATACCCCCGTTAGTCCTGTTTTCCTTGTCAGTTAAATGGCCAAGCTAATAATAACGTCCACACAGAATTGGGAAGTTCAAATAATAAACAATAGCGCTGTCCCCAGGCATGGAGCAAATACTGCTTGCCAGGTCCTGGGCTGAGTAATTCCCAAGCATGACTTCATCCGATCCTCACAACAGGCCCCAAAAGTAGGTGTTATTGATTCCATTTTACAAGGAGGAATGCAGGACTTGGAGAGGGGAAGGCTCCTTCCCATGCACCTCCCTGCTTTGTAAACTGGAAAGTCCTGGGTTGTTGTAATTTGTAGTTATGAATCTCTGGAGTTCTCAGCTCATTCTCTGGAGATTTGTGCTAGAAAGTTCTAGAAGTTTGCAGAGTTTATGAAATAAATTGATTTGACATGTATTTGTTGAACACTTTGCTATGGTCTGAATGTTTTTGTGTCCCTAATATTCACATGTTAAAATCTTCACTTCCAAGGTATTAGGAGGTGGGCATTTGGGGAAGTGATTAGGGCATGAGAGTGGAGAACTCAGGATTGGGATCAATGTGCTAATGAAAGAGACCACAGGGCACTAGCCACTCCTTCCACCATGTGGGGACACAGTGAGAAGGCACCACCTGTGAACTAGGAACAGGGCATTCGCCAGACACCAAATCTGCTGGCGCCATGATCTTGGACTTGCCAGCCTCCAGAACTGTGAGTAGTAAATTTCTGCTGTTTATAAGACGCTCAGTCAATGATAGTTTGTTATAATAGCCCAAATAGACCAACACGTCTGCTGTGTGCTAGAAGTGGTTCTAGGTGCTTGGGATTCAGCAATGAACATCATAAAGCACCCTCAAAGAGGATACATTTTTGCATGCAAAGACTGAAAAATCAGCAACAAAGAAATATAAAATAAGACAAGGTAAGGGGGTAGTGCAATTTTTTGTTCAATGGTCAGAGAAGGAGGTTGTGCTCACTACTGTGACAAGATGGAAGCTGTGCTCACCACTTGTATTACAGTGTACAAGAATGTAATCTCCATAAGGACAGGGCCCTGGGATTTTGTTTCCCTTACAGCTCCAGTCCCTAGCACAAGTTCTGGTGTCTAGTAGGTGCTCAATAAATATTCGTTGAATGAATGAATGAACAAATAGCCTCAGTCTCAGATCTGCCAGAGAAATGTCCATTTTAGGGTAGGCATGGGATTTTGAATTCACCTCCTATGAGCTAACATTTATGGAGAAACTTGCGTGCCCCAGGCACTGTGCCAGCCTCCATGGCTGAGTACAGCCCTTCCCTTGAGCATCTTCACTAGAGAAGATAGTGGTGCTTGCAATTTAGTGGCCTAGAAGAGAAGGCAGCAAAGAGAAGAAGGGAAGAACAGGAGTTAAGTGCTAAGAGGAAGCATTTCAGGGTCAGCAAAGAATTCAGCAAGCATATTGCCTGACATTTTTTTTCTTGATGCAAAAAATAGCTAGTTCTGCTTTTTGGACTGGGGCTCGCTGATTCAGGGGTTCAAAGAGAATAGCATGAGGATAGGAGCAGTAAATGTCATCTGCAGCAGATGGTGATGCTCCAGAGACAGAACGTGGCCTTGAAGATGCTTCCCTCCACCACCTCTGGCCCAAGAATCAAGGTCGAGGGCAGGCAACCAAGCTCAGCTCCCCGGGGTCCCCATTCCAGCCTCTCAACTAGGCCAACCCTTCCCAAGAACATCACCCTTGTTCCACCCGCTTGGACTCCACACCAGGCTCAGTGGAGTCTCAGAGTCCAAGGGTGTGAGAAGAATAATCCCAGCATCTGTTATTAACCATCATTTCTATTTTTTTGGCTTCGCTTTCTCTTTGGCCCTGAGAACACTGGGTCAGTGCTTCTTTGAGTACAAAACGACTGATTTGCCAGGTCTTTGTTCAGACTCACAAAAGAAGTGGATGATTATTACAAGAACAGATTTTGCATTCCATATTTACCCC